GGCTGCGAGCAGGACGCTGGTGTGCCTCTCCATTTAGTATGTGCTGTGGAAATTAATGCCCCTGGATGATATATAGGCAAAAGGTACGTGCGGTTTCAAAAAAACCCCTGTTAATTAGGAAGAGGGTCATTAACCATTACCAAGCGTTGTGGTCTGAATCCAACATTTAACACAGATGAAGAGTTGACAGGTAGGAGTTACCTTTGCGTCAGTGCCTTGTAGCTTCATTTTGTTTGTTCTTTAGTGTAAAAACAGCGTGAGAACTAGGGAGGCCTGTGTGGTATCATGTGGAGATGTGAAGGAGGCATGGCCGGTGGAGCTAACCTAGGGGGGTTTCACTAGGGTTGGTTGACTCGAACATAAACGGAACTTGAATTTCCTGGTTTAGTTCACCTTCCAGATGGCAGTGTGGGATCAAGGAACAGCATTATAAGTAATAAATCTTATGTTTGCCTCTATGGTCAAGGCTAAGGCTTCTGTTTACTGGCTTTAAACTTCTCCCCCCCCCCTCCCCTTTTTTTCCTACTTTCCAACCTAAAATTTATTTTCCTGTGTGAGAGAAATGGAAAGTACTTTTTCTGTGCAGTACATACTTGTAAGATGATGACAATACTTGAAACTGAGGAAACAATTTGAACTGTTTAGTCTTGACAGTGCTGTAAGCCTTTGTATTCTTTGTTTATGGTTATTGCTGTTTAAATAAGATCAAGTTTATTTTATACTTTAGGTGTATGAAGAAAAGGATTATAGAAGAGTTAGATTTGTTGGACGGCAAAAGGAGGTAACTCATTTTACTTGTACTCACGAGTAGGTTTTCTTTATACCTGATACTTCAACTTTTTTTTATACCTCAGCTTGGTTGTCATTAAAAAAAATAACCAACAAACCAACCAAACTTAAAAATGACAACCAAAACCAACCAAACAAAAAAACCCTACCAAACCCAAACTGGTTTGGATTTTGAATTTTGGTGTTATTTTTCACTATAGTGAAAATTCTTCTTTTAAGACAGCTTACAGTAGCTTCTATGTACCTCTATACTTTTGGCAAATTTGGAAAATTCAAGATTCACCCTACGCCTGTTAAAAGTGCTTTTATGCTGTGGAAGTTGTAGGCATTTGAGCATCTTAAACTTGGATGACTTCTTGTTTTAAGCAGGTGTTTTAAGAAAATTTTAAGCATGTTTTTAGTGCTATTTGTGTTCATAAAAATTGCGTAATTAAATGCCGTGCTGAATTGTGCATCTATATATCTGTTTAAATCTGTGTTTTGAAGCTTAATTTGCCTCTCCATAGTTAAAATCTTGATCTTTACCCAAACTGAGTTTTTAAAGAGGCCACTTCATTTCCAGAGCCTGGGAAGCATTTGCTGAAACAATGATGTACCATATAAAACTAAAATTTAGAGTATTCTGAAATAACAAAGCCTCAAAGACAAAGTCTAGTAACACCAGCATCATCCAAGTGTACTACTTGGGCCTGTTGCTGCTGCTTATGAATAAAGCAGGTATGTGAAATTGTAGGTCCTTTAGCACGGAGCTATCTCTAATGATTGAGCAGCACAGCTCCATATGGGATCTGCGGGCCTTTGGGAGAGAAACGGAGATTGTTTCAGCTAAATTGTATTCCTCAATGCCCGAGTATCTGATTAATGCCTTAGTGTTAATGTTATAAATGTGTATGTATAGTAGAGGTACTGAATATAAGGTGTGGGAGATCTTTAATGTAGTTGCGTATAATTATTCCCTTCCTAAACTAACCTGAACTAATTATGCTGATTCTGAATTTTCGTATTGTGTTTGCTTTCTTGTATCACAGATACAATTTAACTCATACTGTGTGGCAAAAATGGGGATTCTGCATGGGAAATAGTTAAATGAAACTGTCACTTAAAATGCTGAAGTAGTTTACTTCTGGGAAGATAGTGGCAAAGTAGGTCTCTCCCAAATGCACTGCCTGTTCCTGTGCTACTTCTATAGCTTTGCAGGAAATGCTCCTTAAGCCTAATTCTCCACAGGGCACCGGTCCTTCTGCTGTGCCTTTTCCAGCAGCTGATTTCAGACTCTGTGGTGAGGAACGCCCAGGATTTTCAGTTCTGCCCAGTTCCTCCTCCTCCAGCAAAAGACAAACTTTAACTCTGCTGAGCAAGGTTTAATGCTAGGTTTTAATTGTGAAATTGGAACAAAATTTACGTGTTAAATGCTAAAATGATCCTCATCTGTGCTTGTTAATGGGATCTCTCTCTAGGGGCTTCAGTATTATCCCCCAGTGTGTTTCAGCTGCTAGTATTAGGGTTTCACAGCTGTGGCTGTAGTCTGAATGTTGTCTTGTTTCTGAAGCTAGCCTGCGAAGTTGGTGACTGTACTTTCTTGGTCACTTCTCTTCACCTTCAGTATGCTCCAGGAGGTCGAGTCTGGCTTGTGATCATCCCAGTCCAGCTGCAGCAGCTTTCTTGCCCGGGGACGCAGCCCCTGGATGCAGGTGCCCTCAGTGAGGGCGTCTGGGCCCGCGCCTGGCTACTACACGTGGCGTTACTGGGTGGTGGCCAGGCCCGGGGGCAGAGCCCAGAGTATGTGACTATTGTCTCTGCAGTCCTGCTAGCCTAATTGCTAATGAAATCCATGTGTTTTAGCTAAAATCATTGTTCTCTGTGCTGCATGTGCAGAACCAGGGGAATAGTGCTCTCTGGCAAGGGCCTCAAGCAAGTAGCTGTGAGAAAACAGCATGGCAACTGTTAAACTGCATCCGCTGCAGTCTGACTAGGGCCATCCTGCCCTCAACCCAGAAGGTACCACAGGACCTAATTCGACATCACTGTTCCTGCTTTGGCTCTAACCTTTCTGTTGGGCTCGTGCAGCACTGGAAACTGCGAGAACTGACGTCAGAGCTGGTCCAGTTTAAATGTAACCTCCTGCCTTCCCTCTGGATCTTTGGACCTGGGTCAGTTCAAAGTTTGGTTTTATCTCTTGGCCTCCCAGACCATGTACTGGCACAGGCAAGTAGGTAGAAAGAAGCAGCAGTGGGATTGTAAAACTAGCACTACAGCCAGCAAAAAAAATGCTCGTTGAATTATGCATTGGGCAAGGAGCATTTGGATGTGCTGCAGGAAATGACCCTTTCCTACTAACTACTGCTGTGTTTTAATTGAAGGGACGTGATGTAACTGAAACCAATTATTTTTTCCCCTCAGTTTTTCTCAGTCTCTTTTTTTTTTTTTTCTGGCATGATTTCCCTGTGAATTCCTAGACTTTTTTGTTTAGTAGTCTGAACCACAGACAAGTCGTAGCTGTGCAGTGAACGAGAGGTTCTTGCTTCCCCTCCTCTCCTCACAAATACCTTTGCGGTTAAATGTTGGGAAGAGTGGAGTTCTGCTTCTGATCTTGAAGCAGAGGTACATCATAGTGGTGTCTCCCTCTTTTTTTAGCATGAGATGAAAGATGCACAATTTTGAGCGTTATGAAAAGCAGCAGTAAAAATCCTTGCAGGTTGGCAAAGATTACGTATGACTTGTGGACATAGGCCACAGGCAGTGAGGTTCTTGATGTTGCCAATTCACTGAAAGTTAACTTTTTGGTAACTTTAGCTATCTTATTTAGGTAAAGAAAATCCAGTTGTTGGCAAAGCTGACTTTTCCACTGCTGTACCAAAAATGCAAGTTTTGGGGAGACTTAATTGCAGGCTTGGTGAAAGATCTGAAGTTGTTGTGTACTAGAACTATATAAAAATGCTATTGTAGTGCTTAGGAATTCATTTAATGGGCACTTAGCTATCTTTTTCCTAAGAATCTCATCTTCGTTCAAATACCAGCATGTTTATGAACCTCATACACGGAGCAGTAGATAGTACCTTCTTTGGGTTCGCATATTATTTTCTATTCTTGCGTGTATAACATTGCCTTTGAAAAAGCTGGCCCCTCCTGGAGCATGTTTACCTGAGGGGTAGGGTTGGTTGTCTGCTGGGTGCTGGTGCAGACCGGGTTGGAAGAGGCTGGTGTGGACAAGGGAGGAAGGTGCTGTGGCTGGGTGCCGTAGGTCCTGCTGAGGCACAAGTTGCTGCATCGCAGGCCTGTCCAGAGATGGGTACGTTTGCCGGGCCAGGTAGACGTGCCCTGGGAAAAAGCCCTACTTGTCAGTGATGTACATATTCAGGAAGTGTGTATAAGATGGATTTACAAAGTGGCATAGTGACATTTAGAGATTTTTCTTTTTTCTAATGCTGAACAATTTGCCTTTCTGACTGTTATGCACCACGTTCCTGTTTTCCTGAGATTCCTGCGCAGTGATAGAATAAGGTGCGCGGTGAGAGGCTTTAAATTACCAGCAGTTGTTTTATCTTGCTCCTGACCTTACTTGTCCCACCATTATTTTTGAAGTGTATCAGCAGTAAGTCTTTTGCAATTTTATCATGTAGTTGCTAAAGCACAATACAGAGGCAGTGTCAGTTAAATCTCTTCTGTTCTTGGCTGCTTGTTCCTGCTCACCCCTCTGCTGAATCTGCTTAGGTCACGCTGTAAGCCTGAGTGCTGATGTCACCTGTGTATCAGGGGAAAGGGATTACTTTTGCAGTTTCACATGCTTAGTTCGTTCATCTGGCTTATAGCACAGCCTAAGAGTTGGTGGAGGAGGTGGGAGGAAGCATACGCAGGAACTTCTCAAGATGGCTGTAGTGGAGCTGCTTGGGGAGCTGGTAAATAGCAATTGCTTTGTGTTTGAGCAGGGAAGGTATCTGAAAGCTTCCTTTTTTCTCTTACAGGTGAACAAGAATTTTGCGATTGATTTGATAGCAGAGCAGCCTGTGAGTGAAGTTGAAAGCAGAGTGATATCATGCGATGGTGGTGGTGGAGCTTTGGGACATCCTAAAGTATACATAAACTTGGTAATATCTTTTGATCTGTGTATAGCATGTTTTGCTTGTCAATTCTTGTTTGTAAGATCGTCTACTTTTTGGCATGTTTGTTTAATAAAGTAAAGGGGTTAACCAACCACCCGAGGTGTTAATTTTATTTGGTGCCTAATATAAAATTAAGATTTCTACTCAGAAGAGCTAGAGCGTTTCCATTTGAAGTTACCAGGCATTTCTTGCTCTTGATTTTGATTTGTGCGATGGAACAATCATTTTTGGGGAAAAAATAAATTAACTATGAAGTAATGTGAGCAAACAGTGCCTTGTGAGCAAAAAATAATATGCTTGCAGTGTTTTGAGAAACTTACTCTAATTATTTAAATGCCACCATGTAGATTGAGGGTGCCTTTGCAATATTCTTGGGAATATGCAATTCATTTTGAAGTCTTGCACATTCAAGGAAAAAAAAAAAACCAAACCAAAACTCTTTCAGTCTTTGGGAATCTTGGTAGTTCTGAAGATTGAAAGTTTCTATCATGGTCAGAGAATCAGTGAAGAATAAATGTCGTCTTATCTTTGTATTTACCCTGACAGTAGTGATAGTTTCCAGTGTATTCTTATTCTAGAGAGTAAGAATATTGAGGCTACTGTCATATGACCTCAGTGGAATCAGCGATGACCTGTTGCTTAGGTTCTGTTCTCAGGCAGACCCTGACTGCAGATGTCTTAAAATCTTTGCTTGCTCACTTAAACTTTGACGTTTGCTTAATACCCAGAAGAACGGTGGGGGAGAGCTGGTGTCCTTTACTGTCATTGTTTTTGCGACCCTTAACAATAGTCACAAACAATTCTGTTTTGAATAAAGTAAGCACTTTATAATGATTCATTTTACATTATTCAAAGTCAAATGCTTGGAGGTTCTAATTCATAGAACTTAGGAAGCTTGTGTTCTTCAGTCCTCAGTTAACTTCTGTAGCACACTGCTAATTGGTTGCATTTATGTTGATTCTTTTGACCTGTGCCACACTCTTCTTGAGGAATGCTTTAGTTTTTGTGAATTTTGAGATCTTTTTGTGTTAACAGTCAAATTACAACATGTCTGTGGTTTCGTTCTTGAAAGCTAATGGCTGCAGAGAGAGAATGGTATTAGACCAGCTTGTTTCTCCTACCCCTAACAATTGAAATTCAGGCTTTTGGGGGTAGAGGAGAGTCTGGATTTTTCACTTCTAATCCTGTATTAAGGAGGAGGAACCACGAGTTTACTTCATTTCGTGACTGCAAACAGTCATGTTGCTAAATGACAGAAGATCCTGTAGTGTTTATATAACTGTCTTGTCTTTTCTTGTGTTAAGGAGGACTACAGCAACAGCTCTGTCAGTCACACTTCTAAATTTAAAAAAAAATAAAAATGTATCTTTTGGGAAGAATAAAAAAATTTTATACAATACTAACTGCTACTTTTCTCTGAAATGTTTTCTTTCAGTAGGATTCAGGAAAAATTCTGAAATTTCCTCCTTCCTGCAACTAACTCTGTCAGCTTACAATACTGGCCAAAATTCCTGTCTACATATAACTTGGAAATGCCAAATCCTATTCTGTATTAAAATAATTGCGAAATGATCTTTTTAGAACACTGGAACAGATATGACTGAACTGACTTAAGATGTCCAGTTCGATAAGAGGATCCTTTCTTGCTGAAGAGATATTGCTTGGCTTGACTTTAAAATTATATTGTTGAGATTAGGCCTGGTAGTTTAAAAGCTAGCAGAAGGGAAGCTGCATAGGATACAGAAATCAAGCATGTACCTCATACATTGTTTTTAATTCCAGTGTTTCAAATAAGATTAAGCTCTGTACTTCAGCTATATTGATCTGTTTTAAGATGGCACATGTAAATATGAGAAAATTTGTAATTTCTGAAAGTTTTGTAAGGTGAAACTAGCAATTGTTGTACTTCTGTATTTTTGCAGGACAAAGATACAAAGACCGGAACATGTGGCTACTGTGGACTTCAGTTTAAACAGAAACAGCACTGAAAGGTTATCCCTGCGTGCTTGCAGATTTCTGTTCAGATGTTAATGCTTAACTATAAATAAACAATATATTTAGAAACCCAAGATTAGCATTTGTGTTTGTCTTACCTATGGAAAGTCCAGTCTGTACCTGTTTAAAAGCCAGCTTGTCAGGTATTTGAGAGCTGAATGATATTACAGTATCTGCTTTGTACTTAATTTTTTTTTTCATGGAACAAATGTCTTGCCTTGTTTGGCAGACTTCTCGCAGGCTTGAAAGTGGTGTTTGGCTGCAGGATAGGTTTGGTTTGTACTAGGTAGATTTGTATTCTTTCCAACACTGAATTGAATGTAAATGTTTGCTGGGGGATTAATTATCCTAGGTGTTTGCCTTTTGGCATTGTTTGACACTCTTAATTTGTTCATGGGCTAGTATCCATAGCTAGATTCACAAATGGAAGCACAAAGATGATACTCAGCATTACAACACGTACTCCTGCAAGCAAGATTGTCATCTATGAATTAAGCAGCTACACTTGCTATTTGTTTACAAGTAACAGCCACTGCTTTAGAATGGTAATCAGCATGAGCTGAAGAACTACCTAAGCTGGCACATGTGAAAGGTGAGGACACAAGCATTTGTCCTCCAATTGAGAGGATCAGAATGTAAATATCTGATTCTACTTGGGATTCACACCCTTGAAACCTGTTTAGGAGCTGGGTTTTGTCAGACTCAAAGTAGGGATTACTCCATTACAGGTAGCAGCTTCTGCTCCTTTAATACAGATAATCTGACAGTGAAAGCATCCATCACCTAGGCTGTGTGAGGCTGGTTGTAGGACACCATCTACCTTCTTGCTTAATTTCACTTATGTAGCATTCTGTCATATAAGCATGACTCTCAAACAGGGTGTGTGTTGGAGAAGGAGGGTTTGAACTTTTAATCTGTTGTCAGTAAGTGACTTTATTTTAGATGCTGATGTTGGAACATGGTCCCAGGTAGTAATTGCTGCTTGGCCAAAGTTTAATGGGGTGTGATTCTAAACTTGCTGTTTATGTCACTTTAGTTAAGTTGATGTGATGGTATCAAGTTGAAACACATTATGTTGGCCTACAGCTGCTTAACTTGCTTGTGTCAATTTATAGATGAAGTTGAACCAACAGAGTCAGGCTTAAAGAAAGGTCTGAACTATAATGTCTGTAGAAGTGTGTTTAGAGGCTATACTGCAGTTACTCACATGTATGTACACCTCTCCTCTTTTTTCATTCATTCCACCTGTAAGAGCTTAACCTCCCTTTCTATCTCTTCCCCTTCTTCTTCCTTCCCTCTCTTTTTCTCCTTTCCATTGTTGCTGGTTTCAGTGGTCATCTGACTGACCTTTAATTTATTCTTTGTAATGACCTAGATTTAGGAAGTACTATTAGAGTTATGCATTGCAAATTCAGTGTAGGTTACTAAGCACTGACTTTTCTGTAAGCCCAGGGTCTGACTGAGGCTAGATGGCTGTTATGATGGTTGTAGTTTTGTAATGTTGGTGCAGGGGTCAGGTTTAAGAAGACTTAATGTATGTTGCATTTTGAGCAGCACCTGAGCATGTACAAAGATGGCAAACGATCCTTTCCTAAAACCCAGTAACTTGTATTCAGCCTATCTGAGCTTATGGAAATGATCTGTCAACTGAGCATAAATGTGACATTATAAATAGTCTTCTGATAAGTCCATCTCATGCTCTAAATATAAAATAATTACTTGAACTTGCAGTGTCTGTCTTTAAGCATTAGTCTGGTTGCTTTTTAGTCTGGCTCTACCAGTTTGTAGAGCGTCTTGGCTGGCACAGTTCTCTCATGGTGCGATCATCTCTGCAAAGAGACCTGAAACAAGTAATTGTATGTGGTCCTCTTCCTTAGACCTTTGATTTTCTTATAAATAATATATCTGCTTGGATCACTGCTGCTCATAATAAATTAACAATGTTTAGATTGGCACAGCATCTGCTGAGGACCTAGACAAATCCCATCCCACTGGTCTCAACCATGGAATGCTGTTCTTGGATATTCTCCCTCAAGTACTTGTGATATGTGAAGCCATTGACACCAGTGAAACAAAGAAGGTCTCTACTTTGCTCGTGATCTTCACAGAAAAACTTCAGACTTTGCGCCTTATTGTTTCCTGTGTGCTAAGTTTATATATCTAGTTGGGAATGGCTGCTTAAATGAAGCCTTGCTCTTTGAGCCACACTGTCCACATACACGTGGAAAGACCAACCTTGATCTGCAGGAAAAAGAAGTGAGGGAAAGCAGAAATTTTTACCGTGGTAGTCACAAGCAGATACACATGAAAATGGATGTATGAGGATAGACTAAAGCACATCAGTATCAAAGCGAGGATGGACTAAAACACTCAAGTATCAAATCAGCATTACAGTTCTTGGGCAACAAATTCAGACTAGAAAGCAATATGGAATAAAGATTTCAGACTTAAATCACTGCTTTGTTCTTCATAGATAATTCATCCCAGGCTGGAACAATAGTCTCTTATTCCAATTACCAGAGTAGAAACCATAGTTTATACTCTGTCTCTATGGGGATATGAAGTATTCTACATTGATGTGTAGCTTGCCTTAACAACTGTATCTTGCCTTTACCTAATAAAATCAGATAGACTCTTTTCCCTTTACTGCCACGTATATTTACCTTTTCTTGGTGAAAATCATTATGTATTTAAACTTCCAAAACAAAAAAGGATTGTCCGTCCTTTTCCCCATATGACTTGGTAGCTCTCTGTCCTCCAATTAAAAAGTAACTAAAATGAATTTACAAGGCAAGTCCTGTTTGTTCAGAAGAGCAGAAAGCACTACTATGACTACGGCATAATATGCAAGTGCACCTTTTTAAAAACTTTTTTCAGTCGTATGACATCTGATTATGCTCTGTAAGTTGCTCTTGTAACAGGCTTTCCCAAATCAGCAAATAGTATCCCTATACTTCTTACTCTCTGACCTGCAAGTAATACTTTCACTTTTTATTTAATGCTATTGCAAATATCAGATGAAATACAGTATACTGTAATAGCAATAGAAATGTTTAGTTCTGTAGTATCCACATTGTTGGCATTCTTTGGTGTGTTCCCTGCTATTGGTCTATGTTGTTTTGAGAGGCAATTCAATCTTTCTGTGGTGGTCTTAGAGTATGTCGGCTAAATTCAAAGCCAGGGATCCTTGAGGAGCACATCTGACAATTCAGTCTTGCCAGTGGAATAGGTTGATCAGGGAAAAATGACTCTGCGTTCACCTTGTCATAAAGTTCGTGGTGCAAATTATTATGCATCTCCCTCTCCAGACGTCCTTCAGGACTTGTGTAACTAGGAAAGAATAGCAGTTTTCTTAATCAGAGGCAATACAGTAGAGCAAAAAAAAGTAGAATTAAAAACATAATATGTATTGTTGCTGTAAATGTCACTGTGATGTGGATGATCATCCTTTGACATGTTTTTATTTTTGTCAAGCACTGACCAGTGTTAGTAGCCTGTGGAACAAGATATGTGTTGAAGACCTCGTGTGCCCAGGTAGTGACAGCTTTCACTCTAGGCTTTGCAGATCACAAATCATTTTCTACTGACGGATTGCAGCGTGGGGTTGCAGGTGGAACATGATGATTATCCATTTTTCCGTGCAGAAAATAGCTTGTGGAGCTCAGATGTCTTTGAGATACAGTGAATTTAACTGACAGTTACTAGAACTTATTTTTCTGCACCTGAAAGTTGTGCAGTCATTATTGATTATTCCAGGTTTGCATTGCCATCCAATCACTTGATGCTCATTTCACCATCCAAAATCCTCATCATTCAGTTGCCAAAAATTGAGCTGACAAAGCAAAAATTGCCATGTAGAAGAACAGATTATGGAAGTGCAACAGAGGAACCAGGAATGTAATCTGTGCAATACGGAAATGATGTGATGGAGCACTGGCAACATTGCCTTAAAGCACCTCTGTTGTTTTTTTTTTTTAAAGGGTCTGTTAGTTTCCTTTGGTGTGACACAAATGCTGTGAGAATATGCATAACTGCTCTTATCTGTACATCTTCTGCTGATACAACATCCTTCTTTAGGAAGTCCTCCCCATCAGCCTGCTGTGTACACGTGTTTATTGATGTACGGGCAACTGTATGCCAGGACAAATGCTATCGACAGCACTTTCTAGTGGAGATGTCATTTTAGCGAGCGCTAGAATTCAAGCAAAACGTTCTTATCCCTAAGCAGTGTAAGCAATGTGAATCCACTCGTGAAATGAAAATATATTTAAACATTATGGAATTTGTAAAACTAGCTGCAGCTTTGTAGGTATCTTCCCACCTTTTTTTAAATGTTCAGCTTTGGATGTATTTTCTCGTTTTACATTTTTTAACTTTCTTCCTGCTTTCATTCTTGTTCTCTTCCATGTTTCTGTTGCTCCCCTTCCCCCCAGTCCCTTTATTAAGGACTAGGTCTTTGACAAAGCAATAGTTATCTTATAATGAAGTTGTCTCTTTGGAACAACCTCTAGTGCTTATCTCCTGCTTCAATAAAAGGGTGCCTAACTCAAAAGCCTGTTCTTTCTGAAACTGTCACTTGGTCTAAGGTGTAAATTTAAGTGATCTAAGTAGGCAGGCATTTGGCTAGATTTTCTCTTAAAGTTGTGTGGATCAAGAAATCTAGACTGCTTTCACTACAGTCATTAATGATTAAAATGAGATCTCTTTATTTTGAACTAGTTACAAATATAGGAGAAAGATTTAAGAGATTTTATTGTATAGCAGCCTGGTAAAATATTGCATAAACTCTACTAGTCTTCACTTGTGATTTGTCTTAACAGCAGGTCATTTCTGGTTGTGTTAACTTTGTCTAAATATTGAAATCACTTCTGTTGGCATGAATAACTTTGTAAGATTTAAATTTGTATTCTCTGTGGAAGATATAAAGAAGAGGGGAAAATGAGCGTAGAAGCCTGTTGTAGTATATTTACTTGGGACAGAATGATTTTTAATC